TGTATGCGTAATACTCGAGGGATACAATGTAGTTCCCCTCTTTGTCGCCCAGTTGTTGATGTGACGCCAAGCGATTGTGCAAAATCCACTTCAGATCCTATACCAAACAATGCGGTCTAATGTATGGTCACCAACTTGCGTACTAACTGTTTGTTTTTCAAAAGAATAACACTAGTCTTATTAGCCCCCCCCCCTCGAAAGAAAAAAAGCTATTAGTCCTTGTAAAATATAATGCGTATCGAAATTGTCTTGCTTCGTCGTTTGATTTTACTCCTTTCTTATTCGCACACGTGCTGCATTCTTTTTTTGCTTTGTTTTTTTTCAGGTGAAAATTTTGGTTCCAAACAGTACTGCCGGGATGGTGATTGGCAAAGGTGGATCCTACATACAGGAAATCAAGGACAAAACCGGAGCTTATGTGCAAATCTCGCAGAAATCACGGGAATTCAATCTGTTCGAGCGGTGTATTATCATTGCGGGTTAGTGATTGGTTGTTATGCGTTTTTTGTGTGTTTATGTGTGCAGCGCATTCGGGTTATTTTATTTATCGGATAGTGCAGGGAGCGTAACCGTTTACAATTGTGATGCTTTTTTGTATTCCGCTCTTGCTCGGGCGGTCGAAACTAGTTTTCTTTGGGTCTCTGTAAACCACTTTTAACTGCCTGGATTGTTGCTAAAGTGCAAAGCGTAATTACTCTGTTCCGCTTTGCATCTGCTCTGACATTACACTCAGTTGGTAATCGTTTTCTAATCACATCAAAACGCAACCATAGTTACTCTAAATCCATCTATTCTTTGGACTCAAACAAGCTCTTAACTGATTCATACCTGTTGCACGTTTTTTGAAATTTTGAACAATCGGTCTTAAACAGGTTAGATGCCTACACTATGCACGATAAAAACTTAAAATTAAAAAAGGTGGGTTATGATTTGGAGTTCCTGTTTGCCTCCGCGTTGCTCAATCACCCAAGTCCGAGAAGATTGACTTCAAGAACCCACTCTTGTATCTTCGACTAAATACAGTCATACACAAGGTATATAGACGCGGCTCCCGAGGTCGTAGGAAAAAAGAAACAGTGGCCATTAGAGCTGTGCGCTACCGGTCACTTGTCCATGTCACTAATGGAAGAGTCAACACATGGGTTGTTAAACACAAATAGATGGACATTGCTTCACAAAATAGGTGGTGCTGGATGACCAGCGGCAATGCCCGAGGATGTGGCGGGTTTTCGTCCGCAGAAGTGATTTAAATGTGGCAAAACGCAGCACGTATGCGAATTTGGCCCTCCAGCACACGAAAAACCATGATTCTCACCAGAGTGGTCCAACCGTTTTCACTTGACTGTGCAATGAATAAGAGCGCGTCCTTGAGAAGGAACGAGTAGTACTGGGGATGCTACTTTTCCTAAGCGCACAGTCTGGATTC